AATTATTCGGTGAGATCTCTTGAGTGTTTTGAAAACTAAGCTACACGAGGATTAGGTGTTTAGGTTGGTCTCTAAAAGTTAATTAACGATTTATCGAGCGTACGGCTGGGTTGATTTTTTTAATGGATGTTTGTGAGAGCGGGAGGAGCAATTTTTAAGTTTTATATCTTAAAATTTTCTGTGAGAGTTTTGAAAGCATTGGAGCTCAAAATTCTGGCAAATCACTGACTAAAGTGTATTTAATCAATCCATTAAAAGGTAAGTAATGATATTTTGAGTAATGATGCCATGACCGATTCTTAACTTGCACCACCCCAATGCTATGTGAGATCCAGTGAATGTTTTGAAACAATTTGAGCACAAAATACTAGAAAAAAAATGTTTATAATAGCTTAAGTACCTCGATTATTAATTTATTTGAAATGATATCATGTGATCATTTATTATGAAAATTAATTGTTTATACGCAATCACCCTTGGGGGATCGGCACCTCTGGTTGACAATATTTTACATAAATCACAGTTGTCAACATTTGATCAAACAACATACATATAAAAAAAAGGGGGCCATCAAACATGGCCAAACGTTACAAAGGATTGAGGAGTGAATTTAGAGTAGCATTATTTTTTAATAATTAAAATTTCTTTAAACCATTTATCGTTTGGAAATTTATGGATAATCAGTAACAGTGCAAAGTTGTAAAACAGGCAATCATAAGGAAATAGGCTACGGTCGATTTGGAAAAGTGAGTTAAAGCACCTCATTGAATCTCACTAAGGGCATCTACAATACAAGCCACTGCCCTGAAAAGCATCACTAAGGGGGACGAAACCAAATCATATTCAGTAACAAAAAAAATTGAAAACAAATGAATTTTAGGACCAGGTTAACAAAGAATAAAACCTTCCATAATTTATAGCGACTTTAGACATGTTTCACCACAGGCTTCAGCACTGCATTGAAGGGAGGAGAGGGGACAGAACGCCATACATAAAGAACCTTAATTTATAAAAAAAAACATGTAATTTATAGTAAAACTACAGTTAATGTCCAGTAATAGTTAAAAGAAGTTAGATCATCAACATAGCTCATGCCATAAAAGAAATATTTACTCACCATAGCGGAAATGAAATCTTCACCAAAATTAGCTGAAACCCAACAGAATGATACTCTGACTTGCACAGCTACTGCTCCTATATGACAAAAAAAGAAAATAATCAATAATAATCAAATTGGTTTATATATATTTGAATTAAACATAATCAAGTAAGAAACATACATTTCCTCTAATTAAAAATCCTTGAATAACAAGCAATATAATGTTATTATCATTATATAATATAACTTATCAAGTTTGCAATCAATAAGATATAAATTAGTTATTATAACAGGACACTAATTTTTAAGTATAATCATTCCAATAGATTTTTCAATTCTTCTCAATGATTAATGAGCAACTACTAAAGACTGGTCGTGAGAAAGAAACCTTCTAGGCTTAAACTTTTTATCTAATAGATAAATCAGAAATTTAACATTCCATTTCAAGAGTTCAGACTATTTTCTACAAAGAAATAGATTTTAAAAGTGACGATTAGCTCCAAAATCTCATGAGGAGTCCATGATTTCATAAAATAAAAAAATGTTCATTTTATAGAAGCTGCGAAACAAATTTAATTGATATTTAATAAAATTACATTATATACATTCATGTTTTGTTTATATAATTCTGAAAATTGACATATTATGTTTAGCAATGAATTATATCACATTCAGTAAAGAAATATTTAATAATTATAATTACTTCAAACCGGAGACATTAATTAAGAAAATTAAGCTTAATCAGTGTTTGAATTAACATTAAGTGTTACATGGTAAAAATGAATTAATATTAAATGCTAGACTTAAACTGATCTACTTTGACTTTTTTTTTTTTGGAAGTTTGAAATAAATAAAGGGGATATTTCCCAATTCGGTATAAGTAATTTCCACATTTTGTTTTTTTAAAGACTACTGATTGTAGCTAAATTTAAATCAAAGACAATTAGAGTACTGCTTTGTGTACTTGAGTTGAGAATACTGAAAGCTGTTGGGAATTGCATTACTACTTACCAGTACAGCTAGTGCAGACAGATAACACAACGGAATTAATTTAGGAAATTTATTTTCAATGATCAAGTTTTTCAGTCTAAAGTGCAAATACAAAAATTTAAGAAGAAAAATAAGAATACAGTGATTAAACAAAATCATACTTGGTACAGTCCCACATGACTGAATGGTAAGAAACTATCAACTAAAGTATGAAGTTTTATTGGAGATATAAGTATAAAAATTATAATAATGACCATTTATATAATTAGTAACTAAAGAAATATATGACTTATACTATTAAATGGTGAAAGAATGTATATCATTATTCATTTAAAAAATAAAACATTGGCATGAGCTACTATATCTGAAAATAATTATCTACCTCATGTTAATTAATTAATTATCATCTTAATTAATTAATTAACATATCAATGTAATATAAAAGATGATTCATATTAGAATGATAAAATGCTTTTCTTCTATAATTAAAATGAAAGGAGGTGAAATTAAGTTTACACTTTCTTATTGTTATTCGGTAAAAATTTCCAAAACTTTACTTTTTATCATAGAATTATGATTTTCTTTATCCAATGTCCAGTCTTGACTGGTTCATTTTCATATGTGGATACCACTTGCAAAGAGGCTCAAATGACCTGCATCCATATCCCCCCAGTCAGCAATGAGAACAATGAGAATGAGGTTAGTAAAGATAGATATTTTACGCAGCCAGGCTACAAAGTAGTCACATTCTTGACATGTGACAGCACCAATTGCTCTAGGAAGCCTATAAGAGAATGGGCCCTCTATGACGAAATTTTCCCATTTTTCACCAACAGGAGTGGTCAAATGACAATAACTCATGTAACCTTTATATGTGATTCTATAAGAATCTTGTTTAAAGAGAAAGTTAAAAGACAGGAAGGAAAACTCTCTTAGACAACTTGTCAGCCATTTCGTTCCCAACAATCACTTCATGGCGTGGGCTCCATTGCAACCTTAGCTCTTGCTATTTACTATTGCAACCATTTAGCTAAATGATCAAACACTTTCCCACAAGATACTATCATATCCAAACCAGTGTAACTGTTATTTGACAGATTGTGTATGAACTTGGGAATAGATAAACAATACAGCTTTCCTTGATGGCTTAATTTTCTCCAGGTCTAGAACTATGTTACACAATCCAGCTATTTCCTATTTACTAGTTGCAGTAGCGTTGTAATTACTAAACAGTTCTACAATGGTAATACTTCATTATCATGGTAATGCATCAGTTTTCTTTAATCTGGAATGGAAGATTTAAGAATGTGTAGTATAATTTAACAGCTACTTTTAAAATATATGTGATCTCTTCTTAATAAGATTAGATAGGAAATAACAGAAACCTTGTTAATGTTTATTTATCTGCTTAACATTCAGTTATTTTTCAAAAGTTTTTAACTCAGCTGTTTAATTAGCACAATATACAATAAATATATCTTTGATTATTTAACTAAAAGCCATGGTTTAGCTAAATTTTCAGTAAAATATTCCCTATTTTTCATTATAAACTAAGAAACATAAGCAGTCTTTAACAACAGTCTGCTTCATAAATTCAATATATTCAGTACGTACTGATCAAAAAAACATAAAAGAACTCAATAAAAACTAAAGGACAATTAATGAATAAATCCACAATATTTATTAAATTTAATATTGAATTAAAATACAAATAAATAAACTTAAATTATTAAGGATATTTCAAAATGAACTTATCCAATTCACAATATCAGTTACTAGTTGGCCCATGGGAATAACTCGCAGAACATTTTTTTTATTGAAGGAATAGCAAAACAATATGGAAATAAGTAGATCCTATTTATTATGTAAGAGAGGAATTAATTGTTTTTCCTGGGTCATTTAACATAATAGACCAAAATATTTGTAAAATTGCTTTGCTAGAGCCTATTTCTAAACACTGACTGAAAAGATAGCACTCAAAATAAAGCCTCAATCATGGAATTTTCTAAACTATTAAAAAATATAGAATGTACAAACAAGAAATAATAAAGCATATATCAGCAAGGAAAAAGAAGGTAGTAGAATAGTAAATGCAGTATCTTAAAAGAGGAAGAAATTATTAAGTACACCAAAACTAATGGAAACTAATGGACTGTATCTTTGTATATAATTGTCTAATTTCTTTTTTTTTTTTTTTTTTTTTTATGTAGGTGATTTAGTAATATTTCTAATTGTCATGGATACAATCAAGAAAAATGTATACTTTTTGAGTTACTTGCAAATAAAGTTTCTTTTCCTTCATAACTTTTTCCCAGAAATTTTGGAGGTATGGGACTATTTTTCGAATATGAAAGAAAAGAATATCTTCAAAGTCAGTGGTGTCAATCATTGAATTTTATAAAGAATCGACGAAGTAATGGTGTACCAACAAAAAAAAAAACTAATTTTTATTTTTCACTAATTGTTACTTAAGCAGTTTCAATTTCTAATTCAAATCAACAGTTTCAGGTCACCTAATCTATAGAATCAATGTGATAGATTTCAAACTAAATATTCATTAGAATAAGAATATTTTTTTAATAAGTTAAATTTTTAGAATTTATATAAGAACTTAATTTATTAATTTAAATAAGAACTATAGTAGAAATTCTTGTTTCCAACATTTATATGCGATGATATTTAGTAAAGTAAAAGAAGGTATTTAAATTAGTCCATTAATATTTTGCAGAAATTTTATATTTTTGATCAATACTTTAATGGAAAGAAATTGATTCGTCAATATATAGTTTCACTGTCACTTCAAAGAAATGTTAAACATAAATCATTTTGTTTCAGATGAAAATTTCCATCCAGTTGAAGAAAGTACTATTTTAAACGTTAATCACAAAAAGTATTTCTTAACAATGGTAAAATGTTTTTGAAACAATTTATTTCTTCCTTATTTCTAAATCAACTGGGTGTTAAATTCAAAGAAGACTGTTTTTCCAAAGGCTACAATATGTTGCTTCAGGTTGCGGCAAAAATCACTACATACTTATTATATAAACTATACCAATAGGAAGAAAAACTAAAACTACCATTTACCCTGAAGTATTGTAAGTTTTTGTTAGATCGTTTAAAATGTACATTGTTTAAAAATAATTTATTAATATAAACCCATAAAACTAAAGACACTTTATTTAAATACATTTTTGTTCAAATGATTGATCCTTTTGTATTCTTATCTGATTTCAGATCTCTTTTCTTAATCATATACAAAATGATATCAACATACTTCTCTTTTAATAAAATAAACTTTACTGTAATAAAATTACAGTTATTATTAAAATAGGCACTGTATATATTACTACATCCTTTAATCAATCTATCTTTAAATTTGTAATGAATCAAGTCCAAATTTGTATGAAACAAAAAACATTTAAATATGACACATGATATTCCTTAAAAAGTTAGAAATAACGCAGTATAGTTAGGGAAACCTGGACAAATACCCCGGGGAGCAGCCAACCTATAGAGGCTCATCATATAGATCACTCGTAGATATCACTCGTCACATGTTAGGAATTAAAATATATATAACACCTATTAGAATAATTAATTTCAGCCTATTAATAAAGCAACTGTATTAGAGGAATATTTAATGAAATGAAATTTAAATAATACATAATATAATACAAGCTTTTTTTTAAGGGGGAAGAAGACGTAATTGCCTGGGTGTGCCGAATGTCTAAAGTTGGCACTGAGTATATTACCCAACCAAATAGTCAAAAAAAGTAATAACATTGAGGTGTAAATGCATAAAATAAACGAAAGATTTTTATATTTCATAATAATTGAGTGTTTATATTTTTCATATTTATGATATTTCATTATTTTAAAAAACTCAGAGTGCCAGAAAAAATTGTAAAGTTAATGTTATAAACTGGACAACTTCAAATTAAAACTTCTTTCCTGTGTCTCCCTATTAAATATTTAAAGAATTTATAGTCATTTTGGGTTGTTTATCCAAAAGTACAAGATATCTTTAAAATGTTCGTTTAAAAACAATGTAAGACAAGTGTAAATATTTTTCATAATGTAAGAATCACAATTCTTCAGTGTATAAATATAATTCAAGCAAAGGAAAAAGCAGATTGAACAAAAATATGAACTACATTCCAAATTACTAATCTAAACTGTGAATCAAATTTCAAAATCTAGTTTTAGCAAGATTAAATTAAAAATCTTCCTATTATTTAAAGGAATCAATTGATAAATCACTGTTTCCAACATCAAAAAACCTACTGATTTTCCAACAATAAAAATTTATGTTATCTCATCAGGATTTGAAATGGGTTTTGTTCAGGAAGCTCCCTCAATTTAAAATTCACTGCACCAATTTTGCATATTCTTATTTTTTTAAAATATATTTTTAGTTCCTATTTTAGTTACCACATAGATAAATACTTAGGTGACATAAGGATGGAGCTTTATTTAGCTATTTACTGTGTTATTTTATTTTTATTTTTTCTGTCTGTTTTTGTTGTGTTTTTTTCTTTTATTTTTTTTTAATTTTTCTCTCTGCTAGCTTATTGCTTTGATGATAAATTAATATATTGTCAACAATATATGTGTATTTCAATGTTTAAACAAATAATATTTTTGTTGCGTTAATTTCAATTGAAACAAATTTTTTTTTCTTTATATATATATAAAATAATTCGTTTGTCTTTACTTACTTTTTACATCTACTGTTTGCATATGGTATCCTGTTCCTGTTCAAAGGTACTCAACAATATTGTGTACTGATGAACCTGAAATGGTCTTAATAGAAAAAGCTGACCCTCTTTAGCTGGAAATGGAGACCTAGAACGATCCATCAGCATTTGCACTGTCACAACCTGAAGCAACGTATGTTGGCTAATGTCCATGCATAAAGCCACAAAAAAAAAAACAGTGAGTGTTTTCTCTACAACTTGTTAAATTGTATCCTCTTTTTATTTTATTTTTCACTGGTTCATTATCATTTTTTTTTTTATATTACTTGAATAACCAACAACTTTTTTATTTTATATGTTTATTTAAACAAATACATAGGTTTGGACAAGCATGAAATTTACCATCTGCAAAGCAAATCTGTGAAAAATACATGCATGTAGGGTTAAGTTATTAGATCTATTGGTCACTGCCTTAAAAGTCGTCAGGGTAGGGTGTACGGCTTTGTGATATGGTGGAGTGCATAGGCGCAGACCTTTGATTATGATTGGGAAGGGGGCTATGGACAAAAAAAAAAAATATGGAGGGAGTTGTTTTATGGGTAAAAATTCAACATAATTATTATGAAACATATTAATATAATATTGAATATTTAAAATTCATTTTTATATTTTTGTATAGTTGTAAGGATTTTAACTATTTTTTTTTTTTAATTTATACTTGACAATATCTAAAAAAAAAATACAATTCAGCATATATGCATATGCTTAGATTAAACACTGGACACAAAACCTGCATAACATGATATATTTCTAGAACTTATCAAGCTTAAATGAATAATGTAAAAAATGAAAAATATCTTTGATTTCTTAAGTGTGTACAACTCCAAATAAAAATACAACGTTTTTTACAGTCCGAATAGTTTGTCGCAAAAATGTGATAAGAATACCACTTGAAAATTAAAAGGTGATTGAATCATAAAATACTAGGATATGTTGGTATATATATTATTATCTTTGAATATAAATGACAATTTAAATAAAAGTAACATTTAGGGATTAATAAAATAGTTACATACTACTAGGCTCTAGTAGCTAGCTAGTCGAATTTTCTTAATCAATTTTAATTTAAGCATTTTATTCCTTCATGTAGCTTATTAATCCTAGAACGACACACCTGGGTGTGACATACCCCACAACATTTTCAATATTAATTTCTTTTATCTAAGTAGCTCTTTGCCCTAGTCAGAGTAATTACAGTGATTAGCACTCCATTGTTGGGCTTATATCATTATTGGAAGTTATTGAAAGTCATTATGGAGTATCCCACACCCCAGTGTGTTGTTTACGTGACTCTATTGGGTGCCTCACACCCCAATGTGCTGTGTATTCAACTGTTCTGTGGATTTCATATCCCAGTGTTTTCATTGTTATTTTGAAACTTCGAATAATTCAAGTGTGGATTTCTAATGTTATATTTGTGAATTAATGTTATTTTCAATTCAGACAGTAATGTATAGACATTTTTTTTTTACTATGGCAACTACCAACCAAATCTATTCTTCTCCTGAAGAAATCCATAAATTATTATGGTAGTTAGAAGATGAAGAAAAGATGCATGGAGCATATTAAAATTGGAAAAGTAACTTTTGATCAAATGTGTCATGTGTGTTAACAGCAAGAAAAAAAAGGAGGCTGTCTTTCCGATTTTTCTTTGGAATGTTGAACCATGCTGGTTTAAAAAGCATGATATTTTTCAGCTTAGTTAACTGGGAAAAGAAGATGAAATGGAGAAATTATTTATTTGGATTAGGCTATTCGTTACTTCAATCCTGTTTGAAAAGAAGACTGCAAGTGGAGACACTCACACGAATGGTGTGTTACAATACAAAAGAAGTTTTTGAAATTAAATAACAAATGACTACTGTTGCAAAAATAAGCCAAATATTTGTTTTGCACTAGAGAGAAAGATGTGAAGACAAAAATGGCTAATCAGCAGTGTAAGAGACCTATCTGCAATGAACGACAGGGCGAAAGTTTGCTTGGATTGTTGTGAGTGAGTGGTCACTTAAATGGCCCCATATATGTGTGAGTGTGTGTGTATATGTGGATATATATATATATATATATATATATATATATATATTATATATATATATATATATATATATATACACACACATGTATGTGTGTTTATATGTATGTATAATTATATATATAGTTTTCTTATGTATATAAATTATATTTTGTTTTTCTTGTAATTTTAAGGATTTTAATCTAGTTTTTCATTTATATCTTATGTAGGTTTTTTATGAGATTTTTCCTACTGTATAAAATGGATTTCAATGTTCTAAACAGCATTCATACCACTAGTATGTCACGTATAAGGTTTCTGCAACCACAAACATGTAATTTATCATTATGACATGATGTAATGTATATATAAATATATAAATAATAAAAATAAAAAATAACAATTTTTTTTTCCTTCATTATGTGTATATTTTACATTCCAAATATATATATTTAATTGATATAAACTTCATGTATTTTCAATAAAAAAATATTGACCCTTTTTTGATTTTTTACCAGTGTAAACGTTAACTTTGTTCTTTATGTTAGCATATAAAATATATTCTGACCTCATCAACATTTTATTGGGGAGCGATCGCAACTCTCCTCCTCCCCTCTTCTCTCCCTCCAAAGTCTATGCCTATGATGGGGTGTGTTTGGGCTAATGGGTTCATGTTATAAGTCAGTATTGTATTGTGGTACAGTACAATACAATACAATACTGTCCCAAACTGTTTGGATATTGATATCTTTGTGTAGCAAGTAATTTGTTACATAAAATGGAGTCTGCTATTTTCTCAAAACTTGTGAATGAAATGTTTGAATTTTGTGAATATATATGAATTTTTCGCAGTGCCCCATAGCTCTATTCTATAAGTCCATAAAGGTATTTGTTGATGTTAAATTTGTTAGTTGAGGATAATTTGTAGCAATAATGGACAACCAAACCAATTATTATTCCAAAGTATAATTATTCAAGTATTTTGTTCATTGATTTTAGTACAATTTATGGTATTTATTAAGACATATTGACAGATATGTTATGATATATGATATTTGACGAAAGAAAATATTGAATATATGGCCCTGATTTTTCTGATTCAATCATATAGCAACAATTAACAAATAAGTTATCTAGAACAAGATCTTAAAAACTGTAAAAAAGATGTTTTAATTTATTTATTATGACCAATCGATTATTTCTTGTACCTTTTCGATTCAAAGGTTTTCTCACATTGGATTAGTACTTATAAATCATATGAACAGAGATTATGGATGGCAATAACAACGTAGCACATCTCAAAAAAATAAAGAGTTACAAAATTTGATTTTAATGATAATCCATTCATAAATAAACAAAAATAGACTAATTATCATGTATAACTGTTATAATTATTTAATATTTTAAAGTCAAAGGTATTTTTGAGTATTGAAAGAAAAAAACTTATTTTACACAGTGCTTAAAGAATCTTTGGCATTGTATGAAATACAATTTAGTATGTTTATTCCTTTAAACAAAGAGGAAGTTGTTGGGATATATACACAAAGAAACACATAGTATGATATAATATTGCTTTAGTGTGTGCTGACATTTAGGTCTAAGCTTTAGGATTTCATCAAGATTAAACAAATCTAGACACAACCTTATTAAAAAAAGAAGAATGAATATAGTAAAATAAGTAGTAACGAATTAGAATATATTAAAATTAATAAAAAAAATAGTCGGTAGTATATGATCTAAAAAATATTTCTATATGTAAAATTAATTAATGAGAAATGAATAAAAATGTTATAGGTTTAATAAAACAAGTAAAAATATTGGTCATATTCTTTTGGATAATATAATTTCTATATTTGTATATCTTCTACTTGATTATGTCTACGATCAACAAAATCTTTATCATTATAATTCTTTAGAAATAAATTTATCATGGAATTTTTTTCAAAAATAGAATTGTATACATGACTCTAAACAGAGGTGCCCAGAAGGGGATTCATGGTGCAGCAAGTTGCGCCATCAAATTTTTGAGGGGGGCATATTTTGATGGAATTTTGAATTTATGAGGGGGGCACATTTCGATGAGTTTATGAATTTTTGGAATGAAAAGATTCAAACCAAGAGATGAGAAAGCATAGAACAGACTGCAGAAACTGTAATTATATGTAATCTACAATTTTTCTAATTCTATTTTTGCTTGCATTGTTTTTAAGAAGAGGTGAGCAATATAATATCTTGGGAGGAAAAAGGGGGGAGAGATACACCATTGATTTTGGGAGAAGGGGATGGACTACTTCAAATTTTTGGGACACTTCAAATTTGTATGATTTCTGTGATAAATACTGTGGCTTTGATCTTTTTAAATTGTGCTTTGCAGTTTCATCTAATTTCATAATTTATTTTTACAGCCTCTTTTGCTTATTGATTTAGTAAGTTTCTTTTTTGTAAAACTGTACATAAATACAGTGGCAGTAAAAAGTAATTCCACAACCTTATGCTTTAAATCTAAACTGGAAAGAAATATAACTATAAAACTTTTTTGACGGAATCTTCTTTGTATAGACAGCTATAAAACTAAAAATTAGAGATCACGAAAACTATATCATTCCAAAAGTAGATTTAAAAGAACACAAGTACATTTCAAAATATATTAGCACATGGTTTTCCTTAAATAATACTACTATTTTGTTTTTCAATTAATGTTTTGTAATATATCCATTTACATCAAAACTACTTGAAGGCGATTTGGTTTAGAAAAAATAAGATATTTAAAAAACTCTGGCTCGATTTTATCGCACCATTCTAACAAAACTTCTATCAGACGTTTTTGAAGATATTATATTTTTGGATATTATGTTATAGAATGTAACATGCATTATTAATTACATTAATATCTGGAATATATGTTATATTAGGAGGTTATGTGTTGTGGCTTAAGTGAAAATATCTATGAAACACTAGTGTTTCAACTGCCTCCCGCAGTGCTGCATCCTACGCCCAGATGAAGACCTGCAAAATGGGTCGAAACGTTATTAAAAATTAA